TATTATTATATATATATATATATATATATATATATATATATATATATATATATATATATATATATAACATATATATATATATATATATATAACATATATATTTATATATATAATTATAACATATATATATATATATATATATATTTAACATATATATATTTAACATATATATATATAACATATATATATATAACATATGTATAATGTGTGATACACAGATAGATAGATAGATAGATAGATAGATAGATAGATAGATAGATATGTATGTATATATTATTTTTTTTTTTCTTACTACATTTTTCCCCCTTTTTAACTATTAAATTAAGTTATATTTCTCGAGTCTAACTGAAAATTTGTATTTGGGAGTAAGGGGATAGATAGTACATAGGTTCAAAGTTTTCAAAATCCAATAAAGAGATGACAGTCACTCTCACCTGCTTTATGCAATAGTTTTAGATTATACTTTATTTAATTTCTCTCCTTTTTAATGCACTGATACTGACCTTGTGTGTGGTAAAAGTAAGTTATTCTTTGCCCTTCGCTGGTCATCTGTCAGTGCCAAGTTAAATGTGGTCTGAGCTGCAAGTATGGCATCGGTTTCAGGGTCACTGGCAGAGGGTAAAGTGGTTTGGCTTTGAGCTTTGCGAACTTGGACTTGGAGATCAGGTGTTAGTGTGAACTCCTCATGCTGAAAAAGAAAGAAAAAATAAATTGTAGGAATAAAAATAATAAGAACTGCATCAGCCAAGTCATTTTTTATCTCCTAATACACATTTATAGATGTTCAACATATACATAGTATATGCATAGACATAATCAAATAAAGAACTCACAGACTTTAAGACTTTTCCAGATGGCTTCTTTAATACCACCTTGCAACTAGAAGGAGTTGTAGGAAGGACATACACAACAGCAGAGGCTATATGGCAGACAGCAGACAGTATATTTTCTGGTAAAACATCCCTTCCTGACAACACTATCAACTGCTGCACATGTTCCTCTGCAATATTGGTTGTTTTTTGTTATACATATTGGTTTAACAAATACAGAAAAATACTATATGATGGTACTATTTAGCCATAGAAAATGCTTCAGACATCATTTGTGGTAGAGAAAATATCCTCACTAGGAACAAAAAACAAAATCAAGTTCCATGTCTCACCTGAAGCTAGAATATGCAAGCTTCGTATGAGCTGTAATGGATCTTGATAAAGAGCAATCTTTTCCAGTCTGTCTATAACCATCACTACTTTTTGTGTACCACCACTGCCTTTAACATAACTGCTGTTCATAATATTATGGAGTGGTTGTGCTACATTTACATTCGGCTGGTCATTGTCCCACCCACAGGGGTCAACTGTTGCATCATGAAAGTGTAATTTACCATTGCTTTCTGGAAATGTGAAACACATCATTAATAATAACTATACATATAGGTAGCAATGGCCTTTTATGAAAAATCTGAAGACCTAACACTTCTAAAAGAATAAATAAATTATGATACACAAATACATCAGACAGCCTTATTTTGCCAAATGTGCAATCTTAGAAGTAGACACTTTATTCCAGTCATTTTTTCATTTCCTTTTTGTTCTTTGCTTACCTTCAATATTCAAAGAGCTTTTTATGTGTTCTGGTGACAGTTCAGTTGATAGATAAATGATGCTGGCATTATTATGGAGATGTGACTGTACAATTGACCATAATACACCACGTCCACACACTTCACTTGTGTCTGGAATACAAAATAAAGACAATCTTTATTTCCATGTTACAGCTATAACAAATATATTATGACTTTTTTCACTCTTTTGAATTAAAAATATAACTTCAACATTCTTATTTTGATTTTCCTTATTTGTTGAAACCAATCTGAAACTAAGGGAGTATGTACTATCCACTGCATTTTTTTGTTAATTTTGTTTCATACAGATGGCTCCACATGCACTCAGCCACCCTCACTCAATTAGTAAACTCTATTGATTGTGCCTGGTTTCCCAATTCCTTCAATCTGCAGGAAAATATCTTTTTCTTTCAACTACTAATAATACTAATATTGTTATCTTTATTGTTGGTATCATAATTATTATAATGTTATTAAAATACTAATAAGAACAAAGACAATAAAATTATAAAAAAGCAGCTTTCCAAAAATCAGGCAGGATTGGTAAGCTCCATGTTGACTAAACACTTGCAGAGCCTTTTTTGTGTAAAGACAATCAAGAAACTACATTCTGTCTACACTTTGTTTGCAAATACACAATTTTGAGGTTACTTGTTTTACTTTGTAAAGATTACAGTAGAGCAGACCTTGAAAGGCTCATTAACCCAAAGCCGACGAGTGGCATGTACGTACATACTATGGTTGTTGTGGACCGAAAAACGGACGGCATTGTATCTTGCCCATTCCCACACCACTGGCTCGTCGGACAGAGTTTGTTTTTCTCTGATTGTAGCGGTTTCATTTATATGGTAAAGATTATAGGCAATGGCATCTATAATGAAGGTAAAACATCAAAATTATAATATCTTTATAAATTATAGCAAATACAAGCTTTTAGGTGCCAAATGTCGCTCGCAAACTACCAATTGAGCCAGGCACAAACTGGGGAAACTGCTGATGTACACCAACAATCCCGTTCTTACGTCCACTTGCCAAACATTTTTACTCGTTGGCACTGGGTCAACCTTTTCATAAGATTAATTGGTAATTATTTCCCCTCACTTTTGCAAACCATATCACAAGAAATGGGAATAATAACTCTTCTTCAAATGATTTACTTACAAGAAAAGAAAAAGAAAAAGAAGAAGAAAAAATCTGCAAAGAGTTAAAAATCTGTACTTTCTGATATCAAAGCTACACAATTTCCAAAAAGTTTCTGAAGTAATTATGGCATAACATCTATAAAATATAGTTAATATCAAATGTGACCTCATGCACAATAATCCTCATTTGATTACACTTGATCTTAATATGAGACATTTCATTAATGATACCATAGCATTTGTACAGAGTAGGTCTGAATCTCATATACTAACAAATTTGATATTATTGGGCTGCATGTAATGTTCTGTTTGCAGTTGCAATTACATCAAATTTAATCCATGGAATGATATCATGTCTGGCTACTATGTAAGTAACAGTATGCCAGAGAAGTTGTGGATTTACAACAAACAACTAGAAATAATATCAGTGATATACTACCCACCATGCAATGCAATATAAGCTCTTCATAGGGAGGTCCTTGACCCTGTATACATCCATGAAAGCTGAGAGATTGTTTACCTAATGCCTCCAGGAAAATGTGTTCACTGTAGAATTGTTTTGTGAAATGACTTTGCACATAGATGGCTTTGCAAGTGCTTTGCCAAAAAGGAGTCAGTCAGTAGACCTTGTGACCTAACCTGATTTCAGCTTTCTATGAGTTTACAGGGAAACCTTTTTTTTCTAATACTATCAATATTGATAATGTTATTTTTATTATGGGCATCATAATATTATTGACATTATGGTAAGTGTTACAGAGAGTGATGCACCATCCAGAGACAAAGTCCCAAAACCTGGGTATCATGCAAATCCAAAAACACAAACTAACCTTTCCTACCTTTCCTATTTATTTATTTGCACTTCATGCCAACTTATGAAAAACAGACATTAAGAACTCTGGCTGCGTGAGGGTGTTGTAGACTTAGTCTCTCATTGGTGCTATGAAACAAACCAATAACTAAGAAGCTGCTGCAGCTTAAACTATGATTTCCCTTACTTAATTTCTTACGCTCTGTAAGATGGCAGTGTCCATTTCCCTCTATCTCCAAGTGTCACTCTCAGTAACCTATACTAACATTACAAACAACAATATTCTATACCAGACATATTCTAAAAAATCAAGGAAAAGGATAAAATGGTGAGACAGGCAGTATTCATACTTGGCTCATTGATAACAGTACTTGTGAATCTATCCATGTGCAAAAACTATCATCAAATCAAACACACAGGGGGCACTGACATGTATGCACATGCCATCCCAGCAGCTTGAGGTTAACAGATATTAATGTATTAGAGATACAATATATTACCATTGTGCTTACATCTTTGGTATTTTGGCAAAGGCCTTTATGGTGGTCTAAGAACTCCAGTGTCCTTGATTATGTTCAGTTGAGATTTAACCTATTATCTATTATAAAGCAAATGATACATGAACACGACAGAACGCATAAATGAACTTGTTACAAATAAAAAAATAAATATTATTTGACACACGTGTCAGAGGCCTGAAAAGCAAAACTCCATAAATTGACCCGTTAATAATATCGATACCGATCTTCCTTGTGTATTAACTGTACTGAGTCTGAACTGTATATACCTTAAACAATCTACTGGGATCGAAGTTGTTGCACGACAAATAACAATATAAAATACCATTTTTAAAAATTAGAGAATTAAATTTTCACCCTCCCATTCAACAAACAAAATAATCTACGCATTTAGGAATTCTCAAGTTACCTGTAAGGAAAAGAAATCGAGGAATTGGTGTCTCACTACATTTCAGTACTTTCCCTAATATGTTTTTGAACATATTTGACGCTTGACAGGCAACGTGGTCGATCCTTTAGATTGTTTGTTGACATGTAGAGTTCGCGTAAGGAGAGTATTGAAGTTC